AAAGACATCATAAATATGTAACTGTTTTATGAAATAAAATGCCTTTTTTTGCTTTCAAAATGAGAAGAAAGCATGAAAATGTCAATTTGACTTTTTCTATATCAGAAATTGTATGTGTAGCAGAAGGGAAAGTTTTCAAATGCCTTTTGACAGAAATACATACATTTCATTTTTGAGATGTGATTAAGAATGAAATACTGACTTCTTCAAAATCAGTATCAATTGATTATGAATATCAGTATGGGCAGTCTATATTTTACAGGACCCTAAGTATCAGAGATTTTTTATTTAGTTTCCATGTAACTAATTTCTTTCGGAAACAGCATTCAAATCTTTTTATCATTCAAATGCTTTAGAAAAATTCAGCTGTACTGTATCCACATTGTGGCTATTGAAGCAATTATTGAAGATTATATTCCAGAACTTTTTCTCACTACTACTTTGATCTGAAACATGCAAGAAGAAATTTCTTTCAGTTAAAGGACTAAGGTGCAGACCAAATCCTCTGGATGACAATTCCAGGTTGTGGAGCCTCCATCTCTGGAGATACTCAGAAGCCCCATGGACCCTGTGCCCTGTGCTCTGGGGAACCCTGCTTGAGCAGGAAGCTTGGACCAGAAGACCTCCAGGGGTCCCTTCCAACTGACCCATTCTGTGACTCAGTGAATGTGAAGTTGAATTTTTGTTGAAGTTTAAGGCACCTACACCAAACTGGCTTTCCAAAATGTCATCTTCCACAAATATCATACTGCCACATTAACCTTTGTATTTTAAAGGTTTCCCTCTCTTCTTTCAACCCCCTGAATCTGCTGGTTTAGTCTCTCATAAGCTCAGCTTTGCCAGGTCATCAGCTACTATTCCACAGATTTTGTTTTTAGGGGAAGTTAATAGAGTCAAAGGCATCTTTATTATATTGAGATTATTAAAGATCCATGATGAACCTCAGTGTTTTTCACCACAGAAACTGATTTAAGCATTTGCATAAAAGCTGAGCTCAATCAGGACCAATAAAAAATGCTTTAAAAATATCAGAAGTAAAAGACCTTGACTAAATGTATAATTTGATTGTGAAACTATGATTACCATGTATATGTAATCTACTGAAGTCCACATGGAATACTTGCATTTAATATTTAAAAACCTCTAAGAGTATAGGCAGGGCTCTGTAAGGCACAAATAATCCAAGTCTCTGCCAAATTACATTCTCTGGTGTTACATGTTCTTTGTGCAGGGAATGTCACAAGCAATATTATAAACACAGGTTTGTAAATATTCATTGTTTTATGCTGCATAGGCAATTCTATGAGACTGAAATATTTAACAAGAGAAGGTTTAGACTAGCAAGCCTTTTCATACTGAAATGCCTGGGAGGCTGAAGGAACATTCTCCCCAAAACATAAATACCCAAGGAAATGTTGGTTATACCCCTGTTCATTCAATACACCCCATTTACACACGTACAAGCTGCTGAATAATGGCCACTGTCTGCCATGAGCCTGTGCAGGACTACAATTTACATTTGTGAACTCAGTTTCTCTTAACTAAACATCTGAAACACATCATTTCAGAGCTGGCATAAACTAAAGACAAAGAATCTGCTTTGGAAACATTTTCTTGTTCTTTTTGCCTGTGGTCTTTCACTATTGTAGCTGATCACTTTGCTTTTCATTTCAGAGCAAAGGATCTCAGCTGTCCTTTTTGCTAGAGTTGTTCTCTTTGCTAGAGCTGTTCTGTGGTCATAAGTACTACTTACAGACTGTTCATGCAACACTTACAGCTGCTCCTATCAAGATTTCAGGTCAGCATTGTGTATTGCTCACAGAATAAATACTCTTTAAAGAGTTTTTTTTTTTGCTGCCCCAATTGTCTGAAATACAATCAATTCAAACAACTCAAAATAATTTCTCTAGTGACATTATGTTCGTGTTCATGGTAAGAAATAGCCACCTAATATTTTTGTGAACACCTTGGCATAATAAATACTATTATTCAGAATATTATTTGGAAGAATATCAGGATTATTCCTAGAGGCCCAGTCAAGACTGGACATCATTTCACTATGCACTCCCTTAGCTTAAATGCACATAGAAATAGACACAGGTACAGAACATGGAATTGCATATAGATATAATGGAGAGTTCCACACTTCCCATTCCTGTCTTGCAAAATTACATGGTGCTATTTCTTAATATTTCTCTGATTTTTGAAAGTCTAGACCATGCTTTAAAGTAGGAAACACTGAGCACACCAATACCATTAATAGAAAATATTTGGATAAAACATATGTCTAAACTACCTTAGACATGATACAGTGCAGAAGAATCTAGAGTACACTTGCTGCTTTCCATTGTGGCTTGCACTTGGAGACAAAAACTAAATGCTCTAATTATGTTAGTCATTCTGACATACCTATTAAGGTCAAAATAAATGCAAACAGATCATTTTCACTGGTTTAATGTTAGTTCTCATTTACCATATGATTATAAAAATTTCAAAGTGTTGTTTCCATCCAAACCAACATCCATCAAATACTGCTAAAGAATAAATTGTATAGCTTAACTCTTCTTCTAAAACCAACTCCTGGGAAAAATGTGAAAAAATATCACTGTGCTTTACAAATACCTATTCATTATCTTAAGAAAACAAAAGTATATGTACCTTTTAAAAGAAAAATATTCTTTTGTATTTTCTTTTTACAGAAATTAAATCTCAATTCTATGTATGGGACTGAGCTATTCAGTAGCTTGAAACAGCAGGAAGCTTTCTCACTCCTCAACTCTGTCTTTTTTAAAAAGTGCCTTTCCATAAGAACTGCTGGGATGCAATTGGCAGCTCTCTTTCCACATCATCCATCCTTGTGTAGGACAACACAACTGTTCAATTCCATTTTTCCTGTTAGAAAAACAATCCCCTGGTAGTTTGGGTTCAGGTATGAACTTTCTGAATGCAGCAGCCCCTTGACAACTGCTAGTCTGTTGGTTATTACACTGATCCATAAAAATACCCCTTCTAGCTGCTTCAAAGCATTCAGGGGAGGGTTTCGATCCTTCTGATACAATTTTCTCCTCAGACATTGCAGAGAACAGCTCAGACTTCTAATATTTTACCAAGGTTTTTCCCTGCCTACATGGGCTGTGTCACACAGAGACATGCTGCTGAGAGCTGAGGAAATGGCCATGCCTGATTACATAAAAATCTGTATCAGTTCTGTTAATTCATTTTCTCAAGTTTGGCTACACACATGCCCCCAGGTTTGGCCATCATTAAATTCTATTTGTTGTGGAAATCTGCATTAATGCAGATTGCAGAGGGCACTCAATACTCACATTCACATTTGTGCCAAATTAAGACCTAGAATTTCTGGTTGCTGCATGGACAATTGTCATTTCCACGTCCCTCCCCAAAACTCCAATCAGGGCACTCACAGGGGAAAAGACCTAAATGCAGACTCTGCAGTACCTCTCAAAATACTTTTCCTGAGCCTTGTCATTAAAAGCAGAATTGTGTTACAGCTCTACAACATCTGTAGGCATCCAGAAGCTGACCCAAGATTCCCTCTTATTCTTGGCTTGTTCAAAGGGAACAAGATCTGCTCCTCTCATCAACCACGTTGACTGTAGGTAATGTTAACAAATTAAATTGTTCAGTTGCACTGTTTGGGAAGTTCACAAGAATGGAGGACATAAAATCCCAACTAAAACCAGGGTATTTTATTATACCTTGTGGTTGAAGAAAAAATTTGAACTTTGGTTAATAGTTGACCAAGCCACTTTTAGTGAGGGTCATGGAGGGAAGATTCACCTTTCTGCAGCTGTTTATGTGAGCTCTTTACATTTTTTAAATCAAGTTAAATACATTCTCTGCTTTCAGAAGCTATTGCCATATTCTTAACTACATCTCTTAGCAAACTTCTGCTAAAGACATCTTTCTGTTTTGGACTGGAAATTCTGCCCCATGCTTTACATGACATTAATCTAGCATTTTTGAGTGGCAAAAGAGAAAGGTGAAGTTATATAAAGACAATTAATTTTAATTGTTTATAAATTATCATTAATAAATCAAACTTTCACTGCCATCTATAAAAGCACTGATTAGTTTTGGCACTAGCAAAATTATAGCTTCATCTACTCATTTTCTCTTATTTTCCCTTGATCCTTGCTTCTGAAGTCCTGCTATTTCCTTTATATTTATGGCCTTCATGTACCTCTGTATCACGTTTACGTAAATGAATTCACCCAAATTCAGAATAAATTTCCTTTCCTAAAATCTCTCAGAAACTGGACAATTTCTTCCTGATTTTTAGGAGCTGAAATCATAAATCTCCCAAATCCTTTGGTGGATTTTGTTTGTTTTTTCCTGCAATGATTTCTTTGACATTTATTATTTTCTAGATGCACATATTCTGAGGTAAGCAGGATAAATGCCACACAGAACAGTAGATGAGAAGAAAATGACCCCAATTTATGACATTGGAGATGAACTGCTTTCACATTTTCATCAGCTGAGAAAATTAAATAAAGAATTCGTTTGGCTGCTCTGAACAATGGATTTGCAATTTGCATAGAAAAAACGATGGCAAAACCTCAGAACCATCAGTGTTTTACCACAAGCTCAGTTCTATTACATTTCAGTGGAGGTTCAAAGTTGTCTAAAAAACCCATTCTCTTCTTTCCCCAGCCGTAAATGTGTCACTTGAGAGTTCAACATCCAATAGAAGCCGTATCTGACACAAAACTAATTTTAGAATATAAAGTGCTCTTCACCATATTGGAATACATATAATTTAAAATAACTGTAAACCTAAACTTTGGAAAAACAGAAAATTTAAGCACTAACAAAAAAGCATAATTTGTAATTGAAAGAAAATAATATTTGAAAGGAAAAAAAAACCTTTTTTTTTTTGTCTTTCCAAAAAGAGACAGAAATTACTAAGTTTTATTTCCCAAGAGAATTATGCCACTTTTATAAAGAAAATTACAGTCACCACAAATTGCTTTCAACAATTCCAAAGCTTCTTCATTTGACCACTTGAAAATCAGAGTTCTTTAAGATTATAAATATAACTTTTTATAACTCTGTTATTACGTACTGTGAATGGGGAAAGAGGGCCAATCTTGTGGCCGTAGCGTCGAATGGCCTCTCTGATGTGGCTGGGCTGGATGGCATCACTTTGAGCCTCCATCCCACAGGCTGCAGTGCTCTGCAACAGAAAAACACATAAATTGTGACTAAATCAAAAACACACAACAGACCTACAGTGCATAAAGTATGAAAATAAACCTTTATAAAATGGACTAATTTTTTTTTTTTTTTCATGAGGACACACATCATTGGTGCCACACACTACATCAGAGAGAAAAAAGCTATTAACAAATTAGAGAGGACTTTTACATGAACTTTGCTTAAGAGATCCAAAGAATACCGTTAGTCCTTTTAAATCTTTCACCTAGTGCTGCTCTATGTTGTAATTGAAAAGAGCAGAAAATGTTCAAACTAAAATGAAAGGGTCATATAAGTCATACTGCAATAACCACAGAAACTATTTTAAAAACACTTCAGACTCTTATTATGATGTCAAGGGGTGGGGAAAATATCGAACAAGCACCTGAAGTGGAAAGCAATTTGACACCAAAATCACCATTGAGTAGTATCAATGTAAAATCTGAAGTTGAAACATGTGACATAATGGTGTTAGAAGGATGTAAAAAAAATTTGAATTATCTTGAACTGGAAAGCTTTAAAATTGCAAAAATTGAATTTTTTATTATGGAGCCTAAATAGGTAAAAATAATAATTCAACACTACCAGCACAATGATTGTACAACAATATTCCTGGGATTTAAAAAGAAAGTTACTCTTCTCTCCTTGTTAGCCAACAGAAATGTTGGTTTAGGCTCCACCTAGACACAGCTGCTTGCCAGAATTCAGATTACTTATCTAATGATGGCTGCTTGGCAATAAATTAATGAAAATTGTGAGTGCACTGAGAGTGACAAAAACTTTAATTATACCCTGAAGTTTAATGTATACACATCCACAGCCCCCTCATACATTCACACCGTATCCTAATGCTCTCAAAATCGGGGTATTTTTTACAGTGTTTTATTTTCAAGAGCACTGAGTCCACTGGAGACTGTGAGTACACACAGAATTATTCATAATATGATGGCAGATTCTTCTGCTGATTGACATCCATAAAGGGAATATGAAACTCAAATATTTTCTGCTGGACTGGGCCTTCATGGCCTAAAAATAGTATTTTTTACCAAGTTAACTTGTTTGCCTCATTTATATCCAGTAGTTACCTAAGCAAATGGAATAAATCATGAGAATATTTAATTAAAACTCAGTACTTTTTGGAATATAACTATTTTCAAAGGCATTCAGTTAAACACTAAGAACTTAAACTCACAGCATCAGTAAAATACAATGTATCAAAAACTACACCTCCAGCTAAATTTCTGTTCCTAGGAATTATAATGAAAATCAGCCACAGGAATGAAACATAATCAAATATAACATAAAAAGGAAGAGGAAAAAGCAGAAGTCTTTCCAGGATTCACTAAAAGCTTTATAAACAGTGTACAAAAAGGACAGGAGAAAGTTGAACCCTTCAGGACTCTCCACAGCACTGATAACACCAGAAGAAGAAAATTTTTACTTTTTTTCTACCTTATCACTGTAGAAATCACCAGTTTTACCCTGAAAACTGAGTATTTTTTAACAACAAAACACTTGATAAAATTCCAAGTCATGCCATTGCATTTCAGCAAAATGAGCGCTGCCATCACATTTCTTCAAAACAGCCCCAAGTGACCAGCACAGGTTTTCCTATCCAGTTCATTTAATCACATTGATTTCTCCTGTGGTTTTTTGGTACATGTATCCCTGTCAGAACACCAAGACTCTGCAACAAAAGACAGGAATTGTAACACTTATATTTCATACTCTGAGTATGAGACCCCTTTTTTATGCAAAGTTAACGAACACTTAGCTTGAATGTAAACAATTGGTATAAAAACAAAGCAAGACAGGCAAAGCTGTTAAAGGCAAGGGCAGCAGTCACCTCAAGCTGCTGGGATCAGGAAAATCACAAGCAGCCCTTTGTTTTGCTTGTATTTTGACCCTTAAAAGCTGTGCTTGCTGCCCCTGTCAGAGAAGGGGATGTTCATTTGGGGTGGTCACAATTTCTGTGCCTGTAGAGCAGCAGGTTATCTTAAAAGCAGCTGTTGTCACCTTAACAAAATACATTAGGAAAATTTAGCATAATTCTGATAGAAAAAAAGCACCAAACCCTGGCCCATTTGGCCCTACAATTACAATGGCCATTAATATATCATATTGGTTAAAATCAATATTTAAGACTAGACACATTATTTAGTGTGAGGGAGGTCAGGCCCTGGCACAGGGTGCCCAGAGAATCTGTGGCTGCCCCATCCCTGGAAGTGTCCAAGGCCAGGCTGGAGAAACCAGGTCTAGTGGAAGGTGACCCTGCCCATGACAGGGGATTGGAATGAGATGATTTTTAAGGACTCTTTCAACCCAAACCATTCTGTGATTCTGTGATGATTTCCTGAGGATATTTTGGTTTCTTTTTAATTTTTCTTTTTTTTTTTCCTCCAGGATTGTACACTAAATACCTTTTTTCTTTTCCTTTGTTTGGATTTGGTGGAGTCCTGTCCAATTCCACCATTCCCCAAGGCTCCTGAGGGGGTTTTCCCAAGGTGCTGCTGCCCTGCTGATGCTGGTGGAGTGGGTGTAGGGGGTGGTGTGTTCTCAGGGGACTCAAGGCTGGTCTTCACACTCGTAGACTGCCCTAAGAGATGCGGCTGTAAAAGCAAGATGTCAAACAGCCAAAATGTAATCAAATCACAAATAAACCCCACCCCAATTATTTCCTTCTCAGATTCCCTGTTGGAAGACATGCAGTACAGAATTTGGCTTTCTCATTCTGGAAGTTACTACAATATCTGTATAATATCAATGCATGCAACACAGTACTTAGTGCACTTGCCAATTTAAAAAACTTTTATCTCCAAATTTGCAACAGACCCTTGAACACAGAGAAAAGGAATTTTAAAAAAAAAAAAGTATTTTTATTTCATTATAAAGATGCTGCTAAGTATTTAACATTCAGAATTAAAATTTAATGTCTTTCCATCTAGATCCATAACTTCAAAGTTTATAAACTCCATAACAGAAGTCTGTACCAATACCACATTCAATACTGACAACTCTGGAGAAAATACATGTAAAAGCAAAACATAAAATACAGTTATATGTGAAAAAGCAAGTTTTACCTCAGTAGAGTTGTGGTAGTGTATGAAGGTGGCAGATATGGCATGACTGAATGGGTCACCAGCTTTGGGAGTCATGTCCTGTTTAACCAAAAGGGCCAAGTCCACCAGCTGGAGGGGCAAAACAGGTGAGGTTACTGACATGGTACTAAAAATGCCATTGTAACAATGGGAGAGTGAGGGCTGTGGGTTGAACCACAATATTCTCAGTGTTTCTCAGATGAAAACAGTAATCCAGATATTTCAGCCTAAAGAGCCTTTCTTTTCCACTTCTGTAAATATATGGAGCAATCTATCTACCCAAGAGGGCTCGGCTTGGCACTAAGGTAACATTTTGTTTTCCAGGAAATCCCTCTTTCTAATCCAGTTGTGCAATGGGATTGAATGAGCCTCAGCACACTGCCAGAGGTCACATAGCAAAGTGTGTGGTTTCAGTTTGGACTTGAGAAAGGTTTGTGCTGGACTCCCCTCTCTTCTGCAGCCTCTATAAAACATTTCTGTTTGTGTATGAGATGGATGAACACAGCACAGCACACATCTGTCACACAGCAAATTGAAAGACAGCCCAGATTTTTGAGCTGGTTTAGTGGAAGGTGTCGCCGCCCATGGCTGGGGGTTGGAACTGGATGAGCCTTAAGGTCCCTTCCAACCCAAATCATCCCATGACTCCATGAAGCCAGGTAGTTTGGAGAGCTGAAGCAGTGATTGCATTTCTGAAGGGGCTTACAACCCACACCCTGAGGTTGAAGTACGTCCAAGAGTAATTAATTCATTTTCACTAGAATTAAATCAGTCCCTTACCTGGGCCACAGTCTCATATGCTAAATATGCCAAAATCTCCATTGCAACTGCATTTGGCTTTATTTCCATACTGCTACAGTCCAGCCAGTCACGGAATTTGGATGCTTTCTTTGCTGTCAGTTAAAACCATAAGGGGAAAAAGAGAAGTTAATGACAGATAGGCCAAAATAATCCATTTTTTGGGTTACAGAAATACTGCAAAATTGAAGCAATTAGTGTGAGCATGATTTGATTGGCCAAAGAAAGAATTACCAAAATGGAACCAGTGGGGAAAGACTGTTATTTCATACATTTTGGAGACCCATAAGTGCATGGAACAAAGAGAAAAAACACAAGCTAACTGATCACACAGGAGATTTCAGAACAAGGAAGGGTCAACCTCAGAGGAATATGGACTGGACAAACTTGCTTTAGAATATATTACTGTGAAATAAATAAAATTATTGCATTACATCTTCTATGAATTAAAAAAAAAACAAACACTAAAATAAATCAATACAAATATGAGTCCAGATAAAATTGATATAATTGTATTAACAATAGCAAAGAGAAATGAAAGGCAGAAGAACTTGGAAGTCCTGGTGTTAATTTTACAGGGCTGAGGTGCTGACAAGTGAGCCAAAATTATTTGTACAAGAGTGTTTTTCAAGTGTGCTTTGGATATAAAGAAGTAAGAATAGATGTACAGTCAACATTCATACAAGAACTTCACACTGGTAATGTGTGATATCAAGTCAGAAAAAGCGCAGAGGAAAATATGGGACAATAGAATGTAATATTTGCTTAGAGAGTAAAAGGAGGGAAAAAGAGGATGATCTTACTTAGGTCAGTGGTGGACAAGATGATCATAGAAATCTGTGGACAGAAAGGAGCTACTGAGACAGATCTTCATGAGGGCTGTTTGTGAGACAGGACAACCAAAATGAAGAAAATACAAGGTGGAAAAATCATCTGAAGGAAGTGGAAACAACTCTTTCAAAAAAGAGTTTTTAATCAGGACTAAAAAGCTACACAAAAGTCAGGTGTTAAACAGAAAAAAGGTCAAGATAATGGTTACTTTCATTCAGGAGGTAATGGAAGCCTACATTGCATCACCAAAGAAAGGAAAACAAACAATAGAATGAGAAAGGAAGGGAAGGAAAAGGAAGGGTAGGGAAGAGGAGGAAGGAGGGGAAGGGGAGGGGAAGGGAGGAGATAAACGATCACAAAATGTTCCCTAGAATTTAAGTTTGCAATTCTGTAGTACTTGATTCTTTGAGGGACCTTTTCTTTTGCTTGTCTTTAAAAGTGCAGAGATACCTGGAGATGTGATTATTAATATATATTTTTAGAACAGGTTTCTAGAAGTCCCTTCCAGGTTTATTCTCTTGTCACACAGTTTTTATGGGCTTGTATTACATTAATACACTTTGTTAAACATAGTAACACAATCAATTTTTACTGAAATAAATAAGTAAAAGACTCCTTTAGACAAATGTTCTGCATAGCCTTTAGAACGTCCTCTCTAATTCAGCTCATTTTGTGCAATTGAATTTGTGCCCAAGTCTCTCTTGGTACTATTTTCTAACCACTGTAATTCTCTTATTCTTTAATGATATTAAATGTCAGTGAAAAATAACCATATAGACATGGTCACTTAAAAACACCGTGAAAATAGCACTGAGATATTTTTATAGATCGCAATCTCTTGGTCAGCAACATTCTATTTTATTTTGCAAATTTAAGATTTTTATTTGATCTGTCTCCAGATGGCAATTTTGGGGTTTGAAAAATGACTTTATCACAAACCTCTCATTTCCTGAAGTCACCCTAATCTGAAGTATCATTTATCTAATGGCTCACAGATGTGTGATACCAAATTATAACTAAACATAAAAAACATATTGAATTAGAAAAAGAAATGCTTACAAAACATGTTTTCCTACGTTTGCTGACATTTGCTGATGGAGAACAGTATCTCAAATGTGTCATTTATTTCCCATAAATGAGTCACACTTTCTTTGAATTTAGAAGGAAGAATGAGATAAGGTCGCTTCTTTAAAGACACCACTGTGTTCTAGCCTGTGTTGTAGGATCATGTGCTGTTTTGTCATGACTTTTACTGCCTCCTTCACCTCCCTTTCTCTGACATTTGACCTAAAACCTTCGTCATCACCTAACCACTTCTGTAATGATGTTTTGCTACATGATCAAGCCCATTAATTTGCAGCTCATTATAGTTGTGGCCCACAAGTACTTCTAGTAAGTTGGTTTTCAGTGCTAGAAAAGCCCTAATTCTGTCATCATGTTATTAGTGTTGGAATGGCATATACTGATGAACTTGGCTAATGGTGAATAAATTCCACAGCAGGAGCTTACAGCTTAAAATAGAAAAGACTCTTTAGTAAATTCTTTGTGTCTCTGCAGATTGGGAAATAAAAGCAAAACTTGCTGCTCTTCTCTAATTTTAGAGGCATTCCAAAAAACCTGCAGCCACGAACCTTAGCTAATGTGCCGACTTTAGCACCACCACGACAGACTTTGGGCAAGTGTGGTTTTAATCCATTAACTCCTCACCAGTTCTATCTTTGCAGTCATCCCCACCAGCTCAGTATTTGAGCACAGAGAAAGCTTGGTAAATATTCAAATAAAATACTCTGCCTGACGGCCTGAAACTGCTAAATTAACTGTTCCCAGGAGTTACACAGACAAAGAATTTAAAGTTTTATTATTGTGGATGAAATAAAAGTGCTTTCAGAAAAAATGAGGTTCTGGTGTGCTATTAAATGAAATAATAATCAAACATCTTAATATACTGCAGCCATTATAATACTTACAAAAACTCAATTGCCGACTTTCACAGAATTCTGCATACTGGACTGAGTCCATGGTTCGTGTTTGTCTTTCTGCTCTCTGACAAAAGAGTAAAAGTACACGATGTACCTTATTCCAACAAAACTGCATTCCACAACAGAAATTATAGCACCAAAGCGCCCTCGCCACAACCTTGAAGCAACCCTCCCAAATTAAACATGCATTGAACAAGTCAAGATGCAGAAATATAAACCACAGATGGGTTATTAGTCTTGTGAGTTAAATTTCCCAGAGGAGCGTGTCAATTCCTATTTGCAAAACCTGCCTGCACACTGCTCACCCAGCCCAGTGGTGAGGGCTGAGAGGAGAGAGGTGCTGAGCACTGCTGCCCTGACCAAGGTGTGTGTTTAAACTGAAGCACATGAGTATTCTTCCCATGTGTTTACAGATGACCAGAAAAGTAAAGTGTTCTCCTGAAATGGGGCCAACATGTTCTGCACCGAGCAGAACTGAACCTGTGTACATCTAAATTGTGAAATTAATATCCATCACACTGATGTACCAGGACATTGAAGTGTCCCTTCCCACACTCAATACACAGTAATAAATAAATGGTACATGTGTCTGTTTATTTTTTTTTTTCACTCTTAATTTATGCTTGAAATTTTAAACTTGTGAACACTTCAGGAAAAGAAAGGATATTAGATTGAATTAGAGCTTGTGAGAGAAAAAAATATCTCCAAATGTTCACTACTGCATTTAAGAATGTATTTCACATGGAGTCCAGGGCCAACCAAAAGAATGAATCTCAGAAGAGTCAATTTACAAAACCACAAACGCTATGCACACCCTCCCCTCCACATATACAGGATGCTGTAATTGAATCATGGTTGAAGCAGCACGAAAGTCCATGGTTAGGTCTGAGCAGGTGCTTCACACAGAAGTCTGTTGTTTACTTCAACAGAGCAGGGATGATTTTCACAAGGTAAAGATCTGGTCTCCACAGGAGATTAAACCACATGTCAGAGGCAGGAAGCAGTAGTTAGATTAAAAAGAACGACTGTCCCTGTCAGAAGCAGATAGCTTAGTCCATCTCTCACTCAAGCAGATTTTTTTAAAAAAGGAAAGGAATATAAGTGTTTTCCAAACTAATTCAATGTATAAATCGTCACACCTGAACCATCACTACAGATACAAAGTGGTGTCAGGAGAGGCTGATGGTACCAAGACTGTGCTTGTGCTGTGACTCCATGAAGCTCAAGAAACCATCCACATAGAAGGAAAAGTACAGATGTACTGACACAAGGACAAAAAACAAGGGAAAAACCATACACATAGACAAAAATTTTGCTCGGACACCCTGAACAATTTTACATTTGATGAAGTAAAAATTGCAGAGTTCTTCAATCTGATTTAATAGAAGACAATAGGGCTATTGCTAAGTATGTATATATCTATATATACTATGTATCTCTCCATGCTACACAACCTGCATTTGGCTTTATGAGCTCTCAAATCCGTGGGAAAAGAAATCAAATAAAATTAGCACCTCAAATTCACAGTTTCTTCCTCTATTCTCTTTGAGGTCACTCTCCTAAAACCATCCAACCCTTCCCTTACGAGATTTGCTTCACAGTCTACATGTTCAATTTTGCTGTAAACTAAACCACAAGCTGACCAGGAATACACCTGGATAGTCCTTTCTTTTCTTCTCTACCCAGTCAATCATTTCGACTGTACTTGGACCTTTAGTCACCATGGTGACTAAAACTGTTCTATTCAGTCATTTTCCAGTTCTCCTGTGCATGGCTCTGGCAACCTGACTATATTTTGAGGAGCTGCCATTTCATATTAATAAAAAATTTCAGTTAATCCATTCCAACAAGATGTTAAGTCTAGACTGAGTTTGTATTCCTTTAAAAATAATTTTCACAATCTATGCTGTAACTTTGACCCATTACAGAATTCAACTCTGCCCCAAGTTAATTCAGCTATACTTTTTAAAGCAGAAGGCATCCAGAGATAATCTAATCTGAACTTCTGCATGGCACAGGACACTTCTCACAAAATACATCCTAGAACAGCAGTCCTACTTTATGCTTTATAAAAGCCTCTAATTTGGGGTTTAATTTTTCACATAATTAAGAGATATCTTCCTCAAGTAATTTGAAAAGCTGTGATTTTTTGCAATGTGGTTTAAATTCTGTAATCCTTTTTTTTTTTCCTGTTGCCACCTATATGTTTAGCCATTGGCTATTACCCTTCACATCCAGCCCTCCTAGGGATTTAAAAGCCCTTGAAACAACAAGGAAGGCATGGAAAACCAAAATCATATGACATGGTAATGTGAGGAATTCTTCTCCAAAGTCCAACATGAGATGATAAAAAAACCCCAACATGTAGAAATTTGACAAGGATACTTTTAACTTTAACAGGCATCCTATAATGTAATATGGAAACTGCAAAACCAGATTAATCCCAAAAGCAGTTACGTTAAATTAAGTGATTTAGCAATGGTTACTCTCAGCAAATAGACCACAAAGCTCTGAAAATGCAGACTGTCAAAGACTACAGGTTTCATTATAAGTATTACAAGTTTCTTTAAAAGTGAAAAACTCAAAGGTTTATTAAAAGAATGGTGCTGCTGAGGGATTTTTCCAATAGGGACTTAATTCCTCTCTACAAATTGTCTACAGCACTTGTCTAAACACTGGATTTAATGTTGTTCTTATATACTAAATAAATACTTTCAATTGCTTTCTCTCTGTACAAATATTTTCATTTAGCAAAATTAATTACATATATGTGAAATAAAATTGTTTTCTTCCTTCAATTCGTTCTTTAAAATAATTATTTCTTAAAGATGGATTCCAGGGTGATGCTCTAAACTGCCACCAAATAAAATAGTGTTTGCCACAAATAATTGAACTTTACTTTTTATTCTAATTCACTTTAACAAAAGATCCCTCACATGATGGCATGGAACCTCACAGTTTGAAGGATAAAGACAGACATTCTTTCAGTCCTGCCAGTTTTAGAATAGTCTACAATTAACCATCAAATGTAGCAGAAATTAACAGGTGAGTGGCACAGCTGGGGCATCTTTAAGGAAATACCATCCCAAAGACAACATCTCTTTCTTCTTCATTTTTCAAGATCACAAGCAGTATTTTATTTTTTCTCCTATATCATCCCTTCTTTGAAAAAATGTAATGTTCCCTTCTCTTTGCACTCCTAAGGTATATTTTATAAACTCAAAACAAATCAGTGACATGGGATAAAAGGGGAGAAGAAAGAATGAGGACATTACTGTGAATATAGCATGACTCCAGGCCAAAAGAGTTTAAAGAAAATGGGATCTAGTGTTGGGAATGTCACAGAAAATTTGTTAAAATAATTTTGTCTGTAAGTCTAAAGGCTACTAACTTGTCCTTTTTCACAGTTTTGGGATTGTTTGTTTGTTTGTTTGTGTTTTCTCTCGTTTATTTTTTTTTAAACAAGAAATTATACAGGACGTTTAAATGAAGAAACAACTTTAAATTTATACAAGTGAAATTTTATAAATTTTGTTGTTGGAAGAAGCAAGTCACTCCAACAGGACTGAAGTCCTCTTTTATCAGAAAAAAATTCCAGTTTTCTGGGAATCTTTCTAAGATGAAGAAACAGTGAAACCTCTGATGAAACTCCACCTTGAAGCAACCTCAGCTTGAAAGCAGATACAACAAATGGCAGCAATGACACTGCTCAACTGATTTAGCAAAAAAGTTAAAAAGAAATAGTTTTTACTCCCTCTCTAGTAGTACTAATCACTCTAAGCAGTTAAGAAGCTGAGTTATGTGCTGTACAGCAGAGTTAAAATACTTTGCATGCTTTCCTTGGAACATGCTGAAGGATGCAGTAGATAGGACCTGGCACAGTAAATGTCTGCTTAGTCTTCCAAAAATGTGGTGCATTATATCTTTCTTTCAGCATAAAGAACTAAAAAGGGAAAGGAAAGAAAAAGGTAAAGAGTTGCACGTTGTCACCTACCATGCAGGATGAAAAATAATCTTATTTTTATTCCGTTTTGAAGGTTTCACACTTGACATACAAAGCTCTTTGTGTGGGGGGAAGAAGGCAGGAGGCCAAACTTTAACTTGCTCACTGACTGCTCCGTGTTTGGAGGAAATGTGCCGAGGAGCTGCTAAGCTGGAACATTTGAAAAACGTATGTGGCTCGGCTGGACACCCCCGTGCTTGGCAACAATGTTGGGATGAAGGCGCTGGCTTCCCAAACCCTCATGTATTCATCTTATGGCATGATTCCCTGATTCCCTCTGCTCAAGAAGTCTCATTGTGGGTTTATCATGGTTTCAAAGGAGCCAGGTGGCTACCCCAGAGAAAAGCAAAGCTGCCCTGCAAGGACTGATATTGCTGGAATAGAATGCTAAGTAGTTTATTTTTCATTTAGACTAGAGAATAAGAGGCCACTGTGCACTGTGCCTGAAAGCTCTGGGGTGGGAGGACAAAAACTGCAGAGTGGTCAAGGCCCAAACTGTAGGATGGTTGTAAGGCAATGGAGATGCTCCAAGGACTGGAGCACATTTCCTATGGAGCCAGCCTGGGAGAGCTGGGGCTGTTCAGCCTGGAGAAGAGAAGGGTCCAGGGAGAGCTCAGAGCCCCCTCCAGTGCCTAAAGGGGCTCCAGGAGAGCTGAAGAGGGACTTGGGACAAGGGATGGAGGGACAGGACAAGGGGGAAAGGGAGGGGTTAGATGGGATATTGGGAAGGAATTTCTCCATGTGAAGTTGGGGAGGCCCTGGCACAGGATGCCCAGAGAAGCTGTGGCTTCCCCATCCCTGGAAGTGTCCAAGGCCAGGCTGAGCAACCTGGGATACTAGAAGAGGTCCCTGCCCATGGCAGGGGGTTGGAATGAGATGATATTTTAAAGCCTCTTCCAACCCAAGCCATTCTGTGATTCTGTGAAAAATGACCTAGATTAAAAAAACAACCCTGAGAAATCAAGCACAAGGTAGCTCAATATTGAAGTATTTACAAAATTTGCTGAAAATACATTTTTAGTCTTCTGAATTTTGACATTATCTGAGAATTATCACTATCT